GCTGGCTTTTGCATTGGGTTTGGCATACCTCCGAAAAACAAAGTCCAACAGCCTCTGTGCACAAAGTCCTATATGGGTGTTTAACTTTGTATGAATGGGGAAGGTTAGGGCCAGCAACCCTTCGGGGGTTAGAGTTAACAGAACGAGTGAACATGTCACAGTGCATACGGAGCACAGCACAATGGGCCATTACGAGTTTCTGATGAAGATAACATAGAGAATGTTGTACCCTCTCTCCACTTCCCTTTTCATCAGATATCATCTCAATAGACCCAATTTGGGACGGAGAAAAAATTCCTAATTTTGTTAGGAAATGCTTGGAAAATTTTCTGGCCTTCCCACAGATGTTGTACACAACTGCTGAGGTACAGTCTTACAGATGCAAGTTAATTTCTTTCAAGGTAGGCCTAGTTTAATAATTACATGTATATGCTATCAGCAGGTCAGTCTGCTGCCAGCAATGGCCAGCTGTAACCATGGCAGCAGTTTTACTGCTGAAAAACAAATGTGCAACTAGTTTACACACAGCAAAATCTGAAAATGGAAAGAATTCCAGATGTGGACATTACTTAATTGGGAGTAACTATAGAACGCAGGGCCATGCACGAATACAACCCCCTAGAATCACTGCCTATGATGTTGCGTCGGGGTACTCCCGGCCCCAGAACTATGGGGTCTGAGGTCCACTCCGTTGGACCCCACCAGTGCTGGGAGTAGCATTGGATTTGAGTGACACTGGGAAGAAGGCGAAAAAAGGACAAACTGAGTCTACGATGTTGAAAGAGTTCTTTCTGAGAATGAAGCAACACAAATGAACGGAGATGGTCAAAAATCTAAGTCCAAACTGAGTGGCCCTATATAACTTATAAGCCTTATCGCAAATACTGCATGGGTGATTTTTCAAAATGGTAGAAAGGCACTGTGGGAAGGAAAAAGGAGTAAACATTGCCCCTTTTTCGTTCCCACAATGCCTTAGTTATGGCCTAAGTTATAGGCCTGTCTTATTTATAGTGCTTTCACAGATGGTAGGGACTGGTTAGTGGCATCCGTATATGGAACTCTTTCCCAACAATGTTACAATGGATATCAAAATAGGCCTAGATTTCTACTTTTGCGGCATTTTCCAGACGTCTGTCTTCCTGCTCTGATTTCTTGTGTACAAACACCGACACTCGCGAACCGTCCTTGCGTTTGGCAGGGTGGAGTCGCCACTCGCTTTGCGATGGGGTTGCAAGCGGCTCCTCGAGTTTACAGCCTTGCAGAACGCTGCTCTCCGTTCCCATTTTCCCCAAACTTCTGCGTTTTGGATTTCAAACGGAAACACCTGTTGCGATTTCCGTGATTTTCTGATTCATTCCGAAAAACGAGTCGAACGTAAATATCCCCAACATGTCCAAATTGCATGTAAATGCATGTAGTATGGCACCTTCATCCACGGGAAATCCCATTATTTTGTTAGTCCATTCTGCATAGGTTTCGTTAAAGATACGGATACTCGACCAAGGTAATAGACAGGTGCTCAGTTCCGTTCAGTTCGGAAGCTTAGAATGTATGTGCTGCAGGATAGGTACAAGGTAACCAAAACTTGTCCTACGGTTCCTTTCTTTCGTTTTTCGATTTATTTTCTAGATACTTAAAAGTCACAAAAATTGAAATATGTGTTATAAAAAAATCGACATTTTAATAAGTATTCGATGCAGCTATCCCATTTTTCAAAAATAATTGGAAGAACTCTCTTAACGTTGGCATGATATTTTACAGCAGCGACTTTTAGTCAAGACTATAGACAACAACCTTTGACCTGGATCCCCTGAAAGGAGCGTTTGAAACCCGTTATCGCTCTCTTTCGTACACATTTCTGCAGTGAGTGAGTGGAGTGTAAAAAGTTGATAATTGAAATCTGGTTTTCTCATATTTTAATTCATTATTTTTTATATTTCGTCAAAGTGTTTAAAGTATTTGTATATTTTCTTCAATATTTGTAATTCTGGCCCTTTGAAAAGGTTAAATCATGTCGTAAAACTTATGTCGCATCCTGAACGAGCGCATCGACACTCCGAAAAATGAACAGAATCCAAGATGGCAGCGCCCATACAACTTCATTTACAAGCTTACAATACAACTGTAACTTAGCCTACTTCACGACTTATCCATAGGCTTGTTCAACGCAATCTTTGGGTGCGTTCGAGCGAGTTACTCAGGATATCACAAGTATACTCTTGATCAATTGAACGGCTGGAGTACAACCCGTGGGTCAGCAAGAGTACTAGACAAGATAGGGACATGCACAAATGAGTGAGGGCGCTGTTCATTTAAGAACTCATTTTCTTGAGTAGGAAATTGTGATTGAAATTTGTCTTTTTCTGCACGCTCTACCTCCATTTAATTTCAAATTTTTTTATATTTCAAGGGAAGTCAATATTTAAGAATGCACAAATTAGAACAAAGATTTTACGAAAATATGAATTTTAAGCTTTTCAGTCAAAATCCACACTCATTTCTGTGTAAAAAAAAAAATCACAGTTTGCCCTGCATTACACATATACAAAAATGTCCAAAAACATCTTGAAATACCTCTTCTTTAAATCAGTATTTCTTTGCTTTGCAGAGACTGATGGAATCCAAACTTACATCAAAATGTTTCTCATGACATCCTCTCCAAATTAGTTGATAAATTTATGAGCCTCCCTAGACTAGAGAGGACCTGCATCATGTACATCAGGTACATGGAGCGTTCTCACCATGGTCACTGAGGACATTTTTGTTATTTACATTGTGGGAGGTCGTGGGTTTGAGTCCCACCTGAGTATGCTTTTGGTTTTTTTCACAAACCTTTGGGGGCATACATTGAATATACAATGTTAAAATACACGTTGAGCAGGGCTAAAATCCAAAATTAATTTACATCTCCCAGGTGCAAATCCATATTTGAAATATTTAGATGACCATGATGACCATGATGACAATGAAATCCTAGGATACAGTTTTTTTCTCATGAATATCACAATCTATTTATAGGTTGTGTGTGCAGTTTGTTAATTTTGTGCAACCACAGATGTTGACTCTCAAATTGTGCAAAACGATTAATATTGCATGGTACAACATGAATCGTGGGCAATAGTTGTTTGTAAGACTTACTTCCTTAAAAGTAGGGACTGTCCCAAATGACCGATGAAGCATAATGGTGGACCCAATAGTGGTGCCAAAATTGGAACTCCGGCTGCCTGAGATCTCAAGGGAGCAATGCTGTGATTTTGTGCCAGTCCCACAGATGTATCATGAATGCTTAGCACACAATATATACAATGGGCATTGACCAATTCTTGTCATAACCAGCATTGTGCGTTGTGGTGTGCACGACCTGAATTCTCCATTATTTTCAAAATTTTCAACCAAAAATTATTGTCTCTTTTTATGACAATTTTTTCATAGCTTTTGCTGTGAAATGGAAATAGTTCGGGCTGAAATTTACATAAAATTAAATAGCTCATGCAAAAAAGAAAAAAGGTCCAACCTAGTGGCCCTATTTTTGAAAGGTCTGTTTTTGGATGTAGAACATTTTTGGCTAACATTAAAATGTGTCTACTGTCGTAAGGTTCTCACTATTCATAGCCACTGTTACAATTTTAGAATGTTACCTTTTCTCAGTTTGTTTGCAAATGACCTTGCCTCTTTGAAAAGTGGGTGAAAGTTAACACGTTCTTCATGGAAAGGAAAAACTAGCTTGGAAACAGCCAGCTATTTCCTAACTTTTAAAGAGAAAGTATCTCAGACTTGAAAAGACTGACATCTGTTGCGTCACTTTTGCATGTTTTCTCATTCATCAGACCAGGATGTCTGAGAACTGGGACGAGGCTGCAGTACCTGCTGAGGCCGAGGTGCCTGAGGTGCACCTGTTTGGCCGCTGGAGCTGTGATGAAGTCTCTGTCAGCGACATCAGCTTGACTGTAAGTACGACCCCTCTCTGAGGGAATCTCAAAAGTCAGAATGCTGCAGAACGTTCAAAGAGAAAATTGCTTGTTCCATTCAGGATCACCTGTCGTTCCTCATGAGTGCAAGGGATGTTCTTGAGTGGGAGCAGCAGTGGTTTTGTGTGCGCTCAAGCTGATTAGGGATGGCTTGTTTCTAATCAGAGTACAGAATGGAAAAAAGTGAGGTTTGGAACCCAAACTAGTCTTTCACTGCCCTGTTTATCATACAACATTGCATTCTTAGAGATTTGGGGAACATGATGAAAAATGGCTTCTCCTATGAATGAAGTCTGTCAATCAAAATGGGCCCCAGGATGGACGAATGATTCTCAGAAACCCCTGCAGCTAAAGCCCTGGCTGAAATCTGTCACAGCAAGAGTGAGTTAGAATTTCACAGTAAATGAAGAGATGAAAGGACAAAAAAAATTACCGGAGGACTGACATGTTTGGCCTTCAGGACTACATCGCGGTCAAAGAGAAGTATGCCAAGTACCTGCCCCACAGCGCCGGGCGCTACCAGGTCAAGCGGTTCCGCAAGGCCCAGTGTCCGGTGGTGGAGCGCCTGACCAGCTCCATGATGATGCACGGCCGCAACAACGGCAAGAAGCTGCTGACGATGCGCATTGTCAAGCACGCCTTTGAGATCATCCACCTGCTGACAGGCGAGGTAGGTTCTCAAAACTCTGGGGATCCACATTACACCTGGAGGGTCAGGGTAGGATGATTCCATCACCACTCTCCTCCCGCCCCATCTCGGTTGCCTGTCTTAAACCTCTCAGGAAAGTCAGTATTTTGGCCTATCCTCCCCTCAGCTTTTTATGGACATTTATTAAGAACAGTTTGTGTAATTTCCGTAAAATTGGTGTCAGATTGACCAGAATTCATCATCATAAAAACTCCCAAATGCAAAGCGTGACTAGAAAATGTGCTGCAACGTTACCAGCAAACCGGTGTGGGGAGGGGATTGATTCTGCAGACCTCACCCCCATGATGTGTGAAATAATCAAAACTGACTCCGTGGTGAAACATCAGTCCCACCATGATGCAGAGGTAGCTTCACCATGCAATCTCAAAATTCATCAAAACACGTTGTAGCCAGACATTGGATACCCCCAAGTCGTTTGAAGCCATTTTCTACGCAGGGCAGTCTTTTAACCCATGTCTTTGTCTCCTGGATCAGAACCCACTGCAGGTGCTGGTCAATGCCATCATTAACAGCGGCCCTCGGGAGGATTCCACCCGCATCGGCCGCGCCGGAACGGTGCGACGACAGGCTGTGGATGTGTCTCCACTCAGAAGAGTTAACCAGGTATGTTATAATGAACTAAAATGTCTAGTGCCCAGCAGGAAATCATCAGGACTGGATCATGTGAAAAATTATGTAGTTTTCAATTTATTTTATCCAATTGTATTACAGTAGAGGTTTCATTTGAGTCATACAGTGAATTTAATCCTGTAAAATTTCAAGGCCCTGCAGAAGCGAGAAGAGGTGAGTGACTACATAAGAACTGCTGAGTTCAACTAGAGTTTTCACTATCTCACTAGTCTATCACAGATCATGTTGTAATTCAGGATGTTGTGGGATGAGCATTGATAAAGGAATGTCATTTCACTTCATATGAAAAGCTCTGTCATGTGACGGGAGTTGTAAATGCATTTTGAGGACTTGATAACCCTGCTTTTTAGGCTTTAAGAGCCAATTCGTGCTTTCAGAAATCTGAGCACAAATTCTCGGCCATGTACCTGTTAACTGGCTTGGTACTGTGACCAAAGATTGCTCAAAACATGTTGCTAATTACTCCATCAGGCACGGGCCTGGTACCTTAACCGTGTTTCTGACTCTTTCCCTCTTTTCACCGGCAGGCAATCTGGCTGCTGTGCACCGGGGCCCGCGAGGCGTCCTTCAGGAACATCAAGACCATCGCCGAGTGTCTGGCTGACGAGCTGATCAACGCTGCCAAGGTGAGAGGGAGTCGGGGTGCTCTGTTTGTGGCAAGCCAGGCCTACGTTCCTGATAGACCACAGACCCAACCTCACATATGAGGCTGACCTCGGCTCTTTTCAGACGTCGCTTTGCTATCCTCTGTGTTGGTATGCCTTCCCTTTAGCTGGGCTACACCAAGGATGGGCATATCTGTCTGCATATCTGCCATATTTCCCTTTCCAGCCAAGGCTAAAACTCCCTGTCTTCTCCCAGGAAAAGTTTTGAAAGTGACACCCTGTTGGTGCTATGTGAGGCCATATTTCCAGTGTACCCAGTATTTCTGGAAGGAAATGTAAAGACTTGTTTGCCAGTCTCGGGTGAAAGATTCAGGTGAAAAAAAAAGAAGCTCAAAACGTTTGAGGCAAAAATTTTAGAGGGGCTGTCCTCGGGACAGGTGGCTGGATGAGACACTGCCCTGTAGTCTGGTATAAGACAAATCCGAGGAGACACAGTTCCTGAGGGGCCATTGCACTCATGTGGGTGTCTTGATTGAGCTTGTGCAATTCAAGTCAGGCCACCCTACTGGTCAGAGAGGAGTGTAACGCGCGTGCACCACCTGCGCGCAAACAGCATAGCTCAGCTGTAAGGGAATCTTATTCTGTTGGGCGGATTCTTCTATACTGACCCCATCAACCAGTCCATACTGGAGAATGTGAAAACATAATCTGGCTGTCTATTCTTTGGGGTGTGTGATACACTGTCAGTTGTTCCCCAGAGTCTTGGCTAATCTTGTGTACATGTCTCGTTTTCCTGACTTTTTCACACACAAATGTCCAGAAGGCCTATGGAGATGGATCACACTATGGCTGAGTCAATTCCAATAATTCACTATTCAAATATTTGACCTTCAATTTGATCATATATCCAAATATTCCGTCATACCAACCGGCAGATTGTTGAACAAAGCATGTACAACATCAGTTGCAATAATGTAGACAATTGTGCATTATAATCACTATAACAGCTTCTCACATTTAGGAGTATCTCCAATCATGATTTAGCAAGATTTAAAAGACAAACAATACTTCTTGCCCTGTTATATTTTTCTATTCCTTTAAAATTCTTTGATGAATAATTTACTTTTTGAATCGTAACATTTCTGTCACTTCTCATTCGAATCTGCTTGAAACAAACCTCCATAGTGCAATTTTCTCACTTAAACAAAAGAATATTCTCCCTTTTCATGAATTTTGCATTTGACTATTCAAATAAGGAAAAAATATTTGAATATTCGAAGATCGATTGGATATTTGGATATTCGGCACAGCCCTTGATCACACGCTAAATTTGGACTTCCCTGCTGTACACATTCACTGTTGTGGCAAATAATGCTTCATGGGTTACTAGAAAACCTTAAGTTACTGTGAGATGCCATGCATGTGTGGCACATAACTGCAGAGAGTTAACATTTGTCGTTAACATTTGTCATTGAATTATCGTTAAAAACGGGCCAATATATCATGCCTTTTTTTCCCAGCCAAATTTAATGTCTGCAAGTGGTTAAGCCCCACCCAGTAGCATGCGTTCCATACCAATGCTGCAATACACAATGATCACAAATCGGTTTACTGAGGACATTTGGTCATGCTGTTATCTGGCCGTTTCTGGTCAAAGCATGATGGAGGGTGGCGTAATGGATCCGTTCGTTGACCGATTTCTCAACAGGCAAGAGGGGACAATTGAAATGGTGACACATACACACTTAACATGCTTTGGTGCTGCATCTTTTGTCTCTCTGTACAGGGGTCTTCCAACTCCTACGCCATCAAGAAGAAGGACGAGCTGGAACGTGTCGCCAAGTCCAACCGTTAAAATGGGGGCTAGGAATACCACCCACTTTACCTACCTGGTGATGATTCAAACCGTTTCCCAGATCTGCACAGATTTCTTTCCTGAAATCACTAAGAAAATGTCATTTTTTGCCCATCCTGTCAGCGAGGGCCAGTCACGCCAAGATACCGTCGATCAGCATAAATCTGTTTCTCTGTTCTAAGGCATCACATTGTTATGTCGTATATTAAAGTGCTTTGACCATCTTGGTTGCAGTTATGCATTGGCCACAAAGACAAAGCAGTGGAAGAATAAACTTGTACAACTTTGGAAAGCTGTGAAAAGCTGTTCATTGTCAATTGTGCTTGTATGAGTATAAGTTGTGTTTCCTTGACCTGGATACTTGAGTGTGGTACTCAATGTGCTCAGTGGAAGTTAAAAATGGATCATGTAAAATTCAGAAAATGTCCTGGATTTAAGGATACTGACTTGGAGTGTTTCTTTTCAATTGCTTGACCACATTAAATGTGTAGCTTGTTTAAGATTTGATTGTTTGGGAATTGGGACCGCAACTTTATGGGTGCCTTATGTAATGGGGTAGACAGTCCTTTTCAAGTTTGCTTGGGCAATTGCCTGTATCCATTCAGGGGAAAAAAAATCATGGGTGGGGGGGGGGCTGGAG